GGGGGGGGGGGGGGGGGGAACAAGAGCAAAGATTTCTAGAGTGAGACGCGCAACTAGGAAGGAAAGCATCGCCTTTTTCCTGCACGCGTATCCACCTCCACACGTCCACACCAACCCCCGTCAGTTCTTATCAACTGCCGTCTCCTCTCCACATTCCAGAAGCCCATCTCTTCTGCGTCTTCACGGCTTGGTTGTAGCGTGGGACCCGTCTTCTGGACTCTGCGGGTCCTGACTTGGTGCCCTTGCCTTCAGGTTCTCCATTCCCTTTCTGACTCCTTCTGCATCTTTAGGTAACAGCCTTCTCAACAGGCTGCTTCTCTGCTACAGCCTTGACAGTGGCTCCTGAAGCCAAGAGGATGAGGTCCGAGTTCCTTAACGTGTCCTAGGAGCCTTCTCAGGATCTGGCTGTCTCCTCTGCAGCCTTACTGACCACGTGGCCGTAGCCATGCTGAGTTTCCTGCAGCTCCTGAACGTGCTGTTCTCTCTCACTCCCGTGCCTTTGCACGCACTGCTCCTCTGCCTAGAACAACATTCCTGGCGTTCGCCACCTGGCTAACTCCTACTGAGCTAAGCTCAAATATACCTCCTTTGGGGGAAGCCTTCTTTATAAAGCCCCCCACCCTCCCCTTCAGTGTGGGTTCCATGATTCTTCAACCCCCCTGGCTTCCCTCTATCATGATCTTTAAAACACTGTATCGTAACTATCTGTTTGCTTGGATCTGTCCCCCCCCCCCCCCCCATTGCCCTGTGAGCTTGGGAGGGCAAAGTGCTCTTAGGTATATTTATCTTTATAATCTCAGGGCTTGGCACAGAGCAGATGTTCAATACGCGTTACTGGTTGCATTTTTCAAAAAAAGCACTTTATAAAATTCAAAGAATCGGAGAGACGGAATTGAAAGCAAATGCTCAGGGCAGTTTAAACAAGAGCTTTTCTTGGTGCTTAGGGTATAGATTTCCGGCTCGCTGACACTGTGTTTATTATCTAATGTTGCTCTCTTCTCACAGCAGAGATCTGTGGAAGTAGGGCTGTGGGCTGGGAGTGGTTCCCTGGACATAAGATAGCTACCTAATTTGTATAGACCCTTCCCCGTCTGGGCCTCTGGGTTTTCTTTTTGGGTGGAGAGCACCTTCTGCAGGAAATGGAACTGCTCGGGGCAAGGTTTTCACTTCTGCTAGTCCTTTTTGTGCTCTGCTGTTCAAGCGTTGGGAAGACTGAGCCCTGTTTGAGTCTTGACAGGATCGAGTTTCATGATCCCAAAAAAGTGTTTGTGTAAGCTCAAGCCACGCTGAAAGCGAAATGCAGCTTTTAAAGGGGGGTTCTGCTGGACCTGACTCAACTTTTCATCTTGCCGCCTGGCCGCGTACATGCAGCGTGCGAGCGTGTGGTTCCCCAGAAGGCTGGGGGATTTGCATGTGCCGATAAGACCCAAGGCCAGCATGCTTGCTTCCAGTAGAGAGGAGTTTAGAAATTCAACTGGGTGTTGTATGGAAATCAGTTTGACAATAAATTTCATATTAAAAAAAAAAAATTCAACAATAATTTTCTTTAGTTTATTTATTTATTTTCAGAGAGAGAGAGAGAGAGAGAGAGTGAGCAGGGGAGGAGCAGAGAGAGAGAGAGAGAGAGAGAGAAGCAGGATCCCAAGCAGGCTCTGTGCCATTAGCACAGAGCCCTACGTGGGGTCTCAAGCTCACAAGCCACGAGATCATGACCTGAGCCGAAGTCGGACGCTTAACCGACTGAGCCACCCAGGCGGCCCCTACATTCTTGCCTTTAACGTCCGTATTATCCCTGTCTCGCAGCTGGGAAACGGAAACCCTAATATGCGGTAGATAATGAGCTCAGAAAATTAAACTGGGAAATAAGCCAGTAGATTAAGGTGGTGTCAGATTCTCGGAGGGAAGATGTTTATTGGGGGCTGGGGGTTCATCCCCTTGCTATGTTTGCCTTCAGCAGGTGGGCTGAAGCTGGGAGAAAGATCTCTAAGAGATGGGAGCTGTGAGAACCCTCATTTGGTGCCACCGGCGGCTGGGCAGGAAGAAGTGCAGTTGAGAGTCCACCTCGGAGGGCTAGATTGAAGCCTTCCTCCAAAACCAAGTAAAGGAGGAAGGAGAGGGTAGTTTCCAGGTGGAGATGGGGATATTGGCTCTGCACCTGTCAGAGAAGAGTTGAAAAGTGTAATTATTTCCACATTTAACTTCAGTCACAGTCGTTAGTGCTTCCTTATACGGGAAGCACTTGCAAGCTCCTTCTGTGACCACATGTAAAGGATTCCCAGCCAGGGGGCCTCGAACCTCCTGGCAGGGTTGGGTACACATCTTTCCTTTCCTGGTTCTCGGGTTTGGCCCGGACTAGGAGCCAGGAGTTCTCACTGTTCACACCTCCTTGGAAAAGAAAGGGACAGAAGGTTTAATTTTTTTTTTTCTTTGCAAAATGGTACATTCTATAGCACTGGGGCTGTAAATGTATTAAAATGTTAACATTTCTTGGCAACATTTCACTTTCTGATAGTAGCACAGAAACATCCCAGCCATATTTTCTTATTTATTACTTTTTTACAAACAAATAATAATTAAACCTTTGAGTAGGCGATGTATAGAATGGGTACAAAATTCAAAAGATGTCAGGGTTGGGGCGCCTGAGTGGCTCAGTCGGTTAAGTGTCCAACTTCAGCTCAGGTCATGATCTCACGGTTCGTTGAGTTCAAGCCCCGCGTTGGGCTCTGTGCTGACAGCTCAGCCTGGAGCCCGCTTCAGATTCTGTGTCTCCCTCTGTCTGCCCCTCCACTGCTTGCACTCTGTCTCTC